AAGAACCTCAAGCGGATCCAACAGCTGCCCCTCCAGCTGGGTGAGGGCGATGTGAGGCGTGCGGGCACCAAGGAGGATATCGACAGCCGACTGGCGAGCATGCGGCAGTATGGCCTCTTCGGCAATCGCCTAGATGGCGACTTGGGGCTGACACGGGGGGCGGCGGGTGAGGTTGTGTGGGGGGGTCGGACATGGGTTGTTTGTCGGGAGCGGCTGGGCGGGATACCGGTGAAGGTGCACAAACCTGAGACAGTGCCCGCCGAGTACAGAGATACCTTCGACCCCAGCGACCCTCCGTGCCGATGTAAGAGGCATGAGCAGGTGTTATGCTCACTTTTCGATGTCCGTCTGTCTGTCTGTCTGTCTGTTCGTCTGTCTGTCCGTCTGCAGGCATCTATCACGAGTATCGTAGCTTCCGCGAGATTGTGATGACTCGGTATGTACGCAACAAACGCATGCGATCACAATAAGGCAGCGTGTCGCATTCCGTGCCTTCCCTCCTTTGATCTTCTAGTATGCTCCATGGGGGACCTTGGGAGAGTGTGACGGTGGCCCGTCATCCTCCGTCGTCTGCTCCCTCCTCCCGCATCGGTGAGCTCACCGCCCAACGGCCCGGGACGCCACTGTGGGGCGGCCGCACCATCGGCAGCACCGACAGCGCCGGCTGCGAGAACCCTCACCGATGCCGATTCGTCCTCTTCCGTGGTGACGGACCAGACGACGCCTTCGCGGCATTCGTGCGCATGAGCAAGCACTACCGGGGGGAAATATCCATCGGCCTTTACAGCACTGAGGAGCCCCAGGGCGACGGTGTAGTCGCAGGCAATCCCCAGGCGGCGGCCCTGGCTCACATCCGGATGGGCAGCGACGCATGGCTGATCCCCGACCTCAACCAGGCGATTCCCACAGGTCCGCACGAGAAAGAGTGAGAGTGGGCGGAGGGCCAATAAGCCTACTTGTCGGGTGTGTTCAGGTGGTTTGGGTGGTGGTGATGATGAGAGTGGAGGCCACTCTGCAGGTGGACCCTAGGCAGGCATGGTAAGCAGAATGGCTTGTCGAGGGTGCACAATGTTGGTGTCATCTGCTCTGCGTGTGTGTCTCTAGATGTATGTCAGGAGGCCACTGCTGCTGCTGCTACTGCAGCAGTACCACAGGGCAACAAACGAACTCACGATGTGAGCCAAGCGTGACCTCAATCATCTTGTCTCGTCCCATGCAGTGGGTGTGAATGTGTTGGTTGACCATGTGTGTGTCAGGACTTCATGAGCCACCCCCACCAGCGGCAGCCGGAGTGCCCCCCGCCCTATGCTGTGAGTGACGCTGTGGGTGGTGTGACTTCCCACAAGCGCGCAAAGCCATCGGGCGCATCGGGCCTCCTGCAGCCTGGCAGCGGCAGCGGCAGTGGGATGGACGTGGGCAACGGGGCGCATGCCATGGACACAGACAACGGCGCCAGCCAGGGGGAGCGGGGGAGGCAGCGGAGCGGGGGTGTGGTGGTGGACAACGTATCTGGAGCTGGTGCGGTGCCGGCCATCGGCAGCCTGGCGCAGCATCCACTCGGTGCTGTCGGCAGCGGTGATGCTGCTCCTGGCGCTGTGCTCGGCGTGCCTCGTGTGGTGGGTGGCGAGAAGACCCCTCCCCAACAGCAGCAGGCGGCTGTGGGTGCGGGTGTGGGTGTGGGCGGTCGTCCCCCCCGCCCCCCCACCAACCGGCGGGGCGTCAGCCGGCCGGGGACGAGGGCACAGCAAGCTCAGGAAGCCGCGGCACAGCAGGCCGACGACCCATTCATACCTCCCTCGCCGCACGACGGGTCAGTGGGGTGGGCTGACAACACACACACACAGACAGACGGGGGGATGGTGCATGGTGTGTGTCCTGTGTGGTGTCTGCAGCGTTAAGAAGGGGACTTGTAGAGTTGGTTGACGATTCGACCGGTCGGCGGCTGATGGAGCTGATCTCGATGCATGCGCGGATGTATGTCACACGTGTCCGCATGGTCTGTGGGATGGCCGCCGTGTGTCTGATGGGAATGACCGCCTCTGGGCACATGAGATGTGTGCAGCGCATTCTCCTTTTGGGTGCGTGAGTACAGTGTAATTGCATGCTTGCTGGGCCTCCCGGATGCCTTTCTGGGCCAACGGCCATTCTACCCCATTGTGTATACATCTCTGCCTGCACACACACAGGCCTCTCTCACTCTCCCTGTATACGCCTGTTGTGTGTCCCATGGGATGGTCACGCGACACACGTGGAGGGCGGGGACGAGGGAGGCACCTGTGGGTTGGGGCAGCAGAGAGAGAGAGAGAGAGTACGTGCCGTCTTCTATTGTCCATACGCACTCACTGTGTACTCGGTTTGCTGCTGCTGTCTGCGGGTGAGTGGACGGAGAGTGATGCCCCGACTGCTGCTGTCTGGTCTTGTCGGTGGTAACGGTGAAGTGTGAGTTCTGGTTGGTTCTCATGTTCCTCCGTTGCCATGGTGCGGGCAGGACAGCAACAGACGGCCGGAGAATTTACTGACGGACTGACTGACTGACCGAGTGTACGACAGCTAATGCGTTGATGGAGGGAGTTTGTGTTGGCGTGACTGACGGCAAGTGTGCGATCGATGAGCGCCGAGAAAGACACGACGCGCGAACTGGCTGGTTGATAGGAACACAGCTAGAGTCGGATGGATGGATGGATGGATGGGTCAGAGATGAACCGACTGATGCCTACGTGAACTGCGTGTCGATAGAGTGGATGGACAGCTATGAGTCAACCAGACCCTCCCTTCGTCCGGGGCTCATGTCAAGTGTCTCCATCTCCTCCCCATCGCCCTTTCGAGAGGGCACCAATCACGCAATGCAATAAACACACGAACACACCGAATGAGGCCGTCTGTCGCCTTGGTTGCTCATGCGGCGTCCGCCCACAGGCGACACGCTCGCCACACACAGAAAAGACGACACCACAGCACACGTCACGACACACACACACACACATGGATGGATGGATGGATGATCGATGTAACGCACACACGACAACCATGTGCTGCAAAGAGCGAGCTGTGGGTGGGGTGGAACGACGTCATACACACGTCATTCATTTACCCACGTCAAGCCACCCATCCATCGGTACAGCCAGGCGGCAAAGGAAGGACAAAGCCCTCTCCCTCCCGCCCTCCCTGTCTGTCGAATAAATGTCAGTCGGTCATCCCTCCCTCCCTCCCTTCAGTCAGTAGGGGGCAGGGGCAGGTCTATACCTCCATGTCCATATCGCGTGGCTGCATGTCGCCGGCTGCAACACCCTGAATAAATGCACCGTACCGCACCGCACCCGCCCACCCACCGACACACAACACAAACAAACAACAACAAGGTGAGTGGACGTGTCTCTGTCTGCCTGCCTCTCTGTCTGTCTTCCTGTCTGTCATCAGTCGTCCCATGCCCCTCACCTGATCAGCAGGCGACGACGGATCACAGCCATTCAGCACACCACCCGGCTCATCACCATTGCCCCGCTCCCCGCCTACCATCATGGGCCCGCCCTCCTCAGCCATCTCGGCTGCCTGGTCCTGCTGCTCGTTGGTGTCGTGACGAGCCGATGCATCAGCAGCTGCTGCTGATGGTGGTGGTGGTGGTGGTGCTACTGGCGGCGCAGCGGGGCTGGTGGGCGAAGCGGTGAGGCATTGGGGCAGCAACAGGGGCGGACTGTCCTTGAGCGTCTTGTTCCTGACCTCCACGGCCTTCTGTATCTTCTCGCTGCTCAGCCCGGCATCATCACGATCGCCATCATCTTCTTGTTCCTCTTTCTCGCGCCCGTCCCCATTCTCAGGCTCGCCGCCGCTGCCCTCAATGACGACCTCGTAGTCACCATGACCATCTCCCTCACCCTCGTTGGCCTCCTCGGCGCCAGCGGGGTGGTCCGACCAGAGCGACTGGATGGGGGGACTACCGATCGTCTTGGCCAGCCGATTGCGAGTCTCGACGGCCTTCTCGAGGGCCTTGTCGATGCCCTCTAGTGTGCGGGCTTGGGGGTTGATGGCGTGGGAGGCACGGTGTCCACTGCCTTGGCGGAAGCGGATCACCCACGTGGAGTCGTACCAGGTGACGTTGATCCTCTCGGAGACGTTGAGGCGGCGCAGCTCCGCCAGCCGCTGCTTGGCGTAGACGTCGAGGGCGTCCCTGTCCACCGCCGCCGCCGCCGCCGCCGCCGCAGCAGCAGAGGAGCCTGACCAGTAAGTCGCATACAAAGCCACACCCACCGTGTGTCTGTCCTGTGTTCTACCGCTTTCATTGAGGCGACGCAACTCGGCCAGCCGCTGCTTGGCGTAGCGGTCGAGGGCGTCCCTGTCCACCGCAGCAGCAGCAGCAGCAGCAGACGAGCCTGAACAGTAGCAGACAAAACCACACGCGTGTGACTCTCACGATGTCCTGTGGCACCCACCTGCAGAGGCCTCTGTCCCTCTCGCCCTTTTCTGCGGCTTGCGGTCGTATTGCTCTGCATTGAACGCATTGAACCAGCAAATGTGATTGATGTGCGCACATCCGTCCCATCCGCTGTTGTGTTTTGTGTCGTGCACCGCATCCATGGATCTCTCCCCCTCTGTGACTGTGTGGCTCACCGCCTGTATGGTCGTGCCCGTCGTCTTCCTCTTCCTCGTCGCCGACGCGCGCCAGCCGGCCATGCTCGGCGTCATTGTCACCCTGGCCACCGGCCTCTCCTGACCCCTCAGCGACGCCACCGGTGCCAGCCGGGCAGCCCGACGGCAGCGACCGGATGGGAGGACACCCCATCGTCTTGGCCATGCGGTTGCGCTTGTCAACGGCCTCCTCGAGGGCCTTGTCGATGGCCTGTAGTGTGCGGGCGCGTGGGTTGATGGCGTGCGAGGCACGTCGTCGTCCGCTGCCTTGGCGGAGTTGAATTGACCATGCGAAGTCGTACCAGCTGACGTTGATTCTATCGGTCTCGTTAAGGCGACGCAGCTCGGCCAGGCGCTGCTTGGCGTAGCGGTCGAGGGCGTCCTTCTCCAGATCAGCAGACGAGCCTGAACACCGGCACACAAAACCACCACACGTCTGTGATAGGGTGGATGGGTGGGTGATCCATTCATATCTGTGTTGCATGGTCACCCACCTGCAGGGGTCTCTCTCCCTCTTGCCCTCTTCTGCGGCTTGCGGTCGTACTCTTCTGCATTGAACCGACAAGTGCGCGCACATGCATCCATATGTTTGTCCCGTGCACCCCTCCCTCCCTCCCTCCCTCCCTCTGTGTGGCTCACCGTCTGTCTCGTCTTGCTCCTCCTCTTCCTCGACCTCAGGCGCCCCGACACTGCCCTCCATCTCATCCTCGCCGTCGCCATGGGCCTCCCCCGATCCCTCAGCGACGCCCTGGCCATGGCCCGACGGCAGCGACCGGATGGGTGGACGGCCCAGGTCGCTGGCCAATTGGTTGCGGGCCTGCACTGCCTCCTCGAGGGCCTTGTCGATGGCCTCTTGTGTGAAGGGTAGCGGGGGGAAGGTGCGCCAGAGCCGTCCTCCTTTGTGGCGGAACTGGATCGACCAGGCGAACTTGTGCCACCTGAAATTGATGTCCTCGGGGACGTTGAGGCGACGCAAATCTGCCAGCCGCTGCCTGGCGTAGCGGTCGAGGGCGTCCTTGTCCACCGAGGCACCACCAAACGAGCCTGAACACCACACACCCCTCCATCTTTCCATGCATCCAGGCATCCCCCCTCCCTTTGTATGGCTCACTGTCTTGTTCGTCGTCTTGGTCTTCCTCAGGCGCGACGCTGCTGCCCTCGATCTCGCCATCCTCACCCTCGCCGTCCCCCTCGCCCCCTCTCTGCCGACATCGCGAAGGCAGCGGCTGGATGGGTGGGCAGCCCATTGTGTCGAGCAATTTGTTGCGCTTGTCGACGGCCTCATCGAGGGCTTCGTCGATGGCCTCTCGGGTACGGGCTCGAGGGCGGACGGTAGCGTAGTGCGATTTGCCGTCGTGGCGGACACAGACTTGCCATCTGCCATCGGGGTGCCAAGTGATGTAGGTGCTCATGTGGCGGTTGAGATGACGCAACTCGCTCATCCGGTCCTCGGCGTAGCCGTCGAGAAGGCCCCCTTTCCGTTTCCGCCTCTTCCGCGCCTTTTGGTCGTGTTCCCCTTCCTCTCCCTCCTCGTCGTCATGCTCGGCCATGTCCATCTCATCGCCATCATTGCCCTCTTCCTCCTCGCCCTCGCCAGGGGGATAGCGGAGAGGGGGAAGGCCAACCGTCTTGGCCAGCCGATTGCGCTTCTCGACTGCCTCCTGCAGGGCCTTGTCAATGGCCTGCCGTGTGCGGCCTCGCACTCCGATTCTGTATGATTTTTGCTGGTTGTCGAGGCGGATCTGAATGAACCATCCGTTGTGGTGCCACATGATGTGTGTGCCCCTGACGCCATTCAGGCGACGCAGCGCGGCCTGCCGCTCCTTGCCGTAGGCATTGAAGGTCTTCTTGTCCAGCGCACAAGCTCCCTTCTCGTCCTCAGACGCGCCCTCCGGCAGCTGCTCGTCTCCCTCGCCCTCATCGCCACCGCAATGCCGCGAATGCAGCGACCGGATGGGGGGAAGCCCAGCCGTCTCGGCCAGCCGGTTGCGGGTGTCGACGGCCTCCTCGAGAGCCTTGTCGATGGCCTCTTGGGTGCGGCTTGACGGGCTGATGGTGTCGCAGGCAGCTAATCGGCCTGATCGGCTGCCGACTCGGACCATCCACGTGAACTGATGCCACACGATGTAGATGCCGTAGCCTACTCGGCCGTAGCCATTGAGGCGGCGCAGCTCCGCCAGCCTCTGCTTGGCGTAGACGTCGAGGGCGTCCTTGGCGTCCACCAACTCACCGCCAAACGAACCTGCACATGACGCACACAAAACCAGCACACACAGGTGCGCATGTGGGTGTATTGTATAGGCTCCGTAAACGCACCTGAAGATGGCTCTCGGCCCCTCTTGCGCGCCTTGTGGTCAACGTCCATCCCGACCTCCCCATCGCCGCCACCTTTCTCCTTCCTCGGCAACCGATGCAGCGCCCGCAGCAAACCGCCCTCTCTGCCACCATCACCAGTACTTGACGCAGCAGCAGCTGCTGCTTGTGGTGACTCCCCGCGCCTCCCTCCGCGGTTAAGGGTGTTCTTGTCCAGCGCTGTTGCACCACCAAACGAACCAAGGTAGTGAGGATTGCTGTTTCTCTGTGGCCCATGGCATGAGGATGCTGCTGCTGCCGCTGCCGCTGCCGCTGGTGGTGGTGCTGCTGGAAGGTAGGTACCCTCCGGTGTGTGTGCTTGGTCGTGGTGCTGCTGTTTCTGCTGCTGCTGCCTGCCGGTTCTGCCACCGTCGCGGGGGCCACGCTCAGTCTTGACTTGGACACCCGGCTGAGGAGTGCGCTCAGCGTGCTCCTCTGCCGCATCGCCGCCCTCCCCCTCTCCCTGGCCGCCCTCGTCGCTGCTGTCGTCTAAGTCGTCGATTGCATTCTCCCACCACGCCTGCCAGTCCTCAATGGGTTCGCCGGCCCTTCTCTCGGCCACCTCCCCAGTCGGAGAAGGGTCGGTGGCTGGGGGATGGTGGGTCACGTCACGCATTGCTGCGGCCTCGGCTGCAGATCCACTGGCAGAGGGTGGGACATGGCGAGGGCGGGGCGCCGGCGGGGTGGCGGCTAACATCTCGCAGTCATCTGGAGGAACCAAATACACAGACACCAGGGATGGATGTCGCCACAGAGATCGGATTGTCCGCTCACCGTGCCGTATTTTGCGGCCGATGATGCGCCTGCCGGCCTCCTCAGTGAAGCGAAACTTCTCAACGCCGTGGTCGAGCACACTCCTGACCTTGTAAGTGAGCGACTTCGAGAAGCTCCACCTCTTGCTGCCCTTTGGTCGGGTGGCCAGGCCCCGCACAAAGTAGCCGTCGCTGTGGCTGTGGCTGCTTTGGTCGCTCGCATCCCCCGCGAGAAATGGCCCTATGGTGACAGTGACTTCGTCTGTGTTTGGTGGGGGAGAGGGGGCGGGGGTGAAGGTGGCGGTCACGTGAGGATGATGGTTGAGGCGGGAGAAGGCGCTGCTCTTGACTTTATCCCTGACGCTCTTGTAGTGGCGCTCGCAGGAAGTGCAGACGTCCTCGAGATGCCCATCAGCGGCAGCGGCGAGATCTGCACACACAGCACATTTATGCAATCCACCTTAGAAGCAACATGCACGACGCGACACGTCTGGCTAGGCTGCCTGTCTGAGGGTCTGTGGGCACGGCACCCACCTGGTCCGTCGGGCGTGTGCTCTTCATCGCCGTCGCCCTCAGCCTCATTCTCGTGATCTTCATCCATCCTCAGAGGAGAGGACCACAACACACAACGAGGCAGCAACCACAACACATCCCTCGATGGACGGATATTGTATGTGTGTGCATTCACTAATTAATTCATTCATTCATTCATTCACCTGGCGTCGGCGGGGGGACACCCATGCCACCCATCACCACACCGCGGCGACCTGTCCGCAGACGTCGGCCACATGTCCGTCCATCCATCCGTCTGTCCGTCCGTCCGTCCGTCCATCCATCCGTCCGTCCGTCCGTCTGTCTGTCTGCGCGTACCGTCGAGTGGTGGGCGGAAGGGGAATGGGGGAAATGGCATCCGCCAAAGCGGCACAGGCGGACCATTGGTGGCAGCAGCAGAGGCCGCTACCTCATCTCCCTCCTCTTGCTGCTCGCCATCGCCCATCTGCTCGTCCTCACGGCCAGCCACCGCATCTGGCCAAGGGCCCGGAGAGACAGACAGGCCATGGTGGACAGTGCCCAGTCTGTGACGCCTTTCAGAATCGACCGGCGTACCTGAGAGGCCTGGAGGCACAGATGTGGCCATTTGTGCCGCCGCCGCTGCGGCGCTGCTGCGGAATATCAGCAATGTCATCTCATCCTGCTCCTCCTCCTCCTCCTCCTCCGCCTCATCATCATCATCATCGTCGTCGTCCTCAAAGTCCTCAAGCTCCGTCGCTGCCACGCCACGCCACACAACACATTGCAAATACATCCACGTCCGCACAATAAACAATGTGTTGCATTGCATTTGTGGACCGATGGGTGCCGTGAGGGCCGGCAATGCAATGCGTCGTGTGCGGCTGACTGACCTTTCAAGTGACGTGGTGACGATGCGGCCTCGCCCTGACCACCACCGCCCCTCCGGGTCTGCGCCGCTTCGGTCTCGACACGCTCACGACCACAAGCACCAGGAGGACCACAGGAAGAGGTCGCATCGTGATGGTGGCCAGGTGGGCAGGGGGTGGGTGAGGAGCGGTCGGTGGTGTGGGCTGATGACTGCCCAGAAATACCGTGGGATGACACAGTGAGGTCTGGGGTGGCTCGCGGGGCTGTGCTGTCAGCCTGAGGCTCCTGCTTAACGCACACAGCACCTGCAAACCACGGCACACAGCAGAAAGAGAAACAGACAGACGGCGTGGTGTGGTGGGCGTACACACTGTATGTCCCGACGTAGATTGATCAATCATGTGTGGATCTGATCTGCGGGCGGCATCCTTCCTTCGCACGTGATGTGATGTACCTGTAGAGGGGACTGGCATCGGTGGCTGGTGGGCACCCTGGCTGCTCATGATGCACAGATCTCTGGCGTCCGGCCTTCAGCTCGAGGTTTGACGAGGCGCCCGACTGACTTCAACAGTGAAAAGAGGCCCACTAGGTTACTTACCCCCATGATTGAGTTGGTGATTTCTCGGCTGTTTCTCCTCCTTTTCGGATGAGCGAGCGTGTATCGGACTACACCCAACCCCCTCCACCTACCCTCATCCCGCGAGACGGCGGCGGGCCCCCCTGTTGCGCATGCAACGAGAAAGGGACGTCT